TTTCGAAAAATGTCTTATAGCGAATATCTTTTGAACGGGATGGTCTTTCTATCTGAAACTCGAGAATTTGTATCAGGAGAACATGGGGATCGAGGAAGTGGCACGCGAAAGCCTCAGGTCCAGCTGTACTCCGGATATTTCAAATTTTCGAAAAATATCTTATAGCGAATATCTTTTGAACGGGATGGTGTTTCTTGTTGAAACTCGAGAATTTGTATTAGGAGAACATTATATACGAGGTGGTGGCACGCGAAAGCCGCAAGTCCAGCTGTACTCCTCATACTTCATAGTTTCGGAAAATGTTTTAGCGCGAATATCTAGAGAACGAAATGGTCTTTCCAGCTGAAGCTTGAGATCTTGTTTCTGGGGAACATTAGGTCCGAGGAGGTTGCACGAGAAAGTCGTAGGTGCAGCTGTACGCCTGATATTTCAAACTTCCAAAAAATATTTTAGCGCAAATGTCTGGAAAACGAGATGGTACTTCTGGCTGAAACTCGAGGTTTTTGTATCAGGAGAACATGAGGTCCAAGGATGTGGCACGTTAAGATCTTGGTCCCAGCTGTGCTCCTGATATTTCAAACTTTTTGAAAATTTTTTAGCGTGAGTATCTTGAATACCGCGAGATATTTCTGGTTGAAAACTGACATTTTGTATGAGGGGACGATAGCTGATTAGGAACTGGTCGTTTTTACCGAGTACTCATCGATTTTATTTAGAAGTGTTGTTATTTATACGTTGTGTAATATGTCAGAAAATGTTAAAAATGTTGAATGTGAATGTGAGAAATGTGTTAAAAGTGAATTTAGAAGTGAGACTGTGGTCTGTATTCAAAGGCGTATTGCTAATGAGTGTTTTAGAAGCAGATGCATCAGCTGATGTATTGGAGAAGTTCGGAGGCCTCGATCATACTCATATCTAATGCAACCAAAACTTCATCTATTATTCTGACTTCAGAGATAAGTTGCATGGTTTCTTTGGTGTGGGAGTATTAATTTTATCATGATTATTTGAACTTGAGTACGAGTTCAATTGTAATGACTTCTATCGTAGTCGTACAAAATAGTATGATAGTTATTATTCTTTAATATTTATATTCATATACGTTATATTTCTGTATGTGTGTAGGTAATATTAATCTAACAGTGGTATTGCTATTATTAGTCACTTTCACTGTTTCTCTTTGAATTTACAATTAGAAAAATAGTTCAGTTTTTTACCATTAATTTGCCAGACAATATATTTGTGTCTTGAATTAGTCATTAGATTGATCAAACAATTATGCCCTATTTTACAAATATCTTTTCTCTTCCTAATAAACTGCTTAAATTCAATGCAAGTGTAAATCGTGACTCGTGTAATAAATACTCGTGTAATAAAACAGTACTGATTTACATACAGTACTGATATACATTATGAGACTCGTGCGTAGTCACCTCCACGTGGTGAGTCTTGGTAATTGAATCGTTTTATAAATTTTAATGTTTGTAGTACAATATCAAGCTAAGAACTACGCAACCTACAGTTCAGTTTAGACTGTGCAAATTTCTTTCTTTTTTTCTCTATTTCACATTCTATACTGAACTGTACGGTCAATTAGTTGATAAGTAAACTATTAGACTTTCCAGTGTAGCATCTCTGACGACGAGAGATCTCGTAGAGACATCGTGGAATGCGTGAATTTTAATTTTAAGTTACGTACGTTTAGTTTTAGTTAATCATAATATAGTTAATATTTATAAATTCACTGTGAGCATATTCTACAGAATGATACACTTATTGCTATAATATATGTGAAACAATTTTTATTTTTTCTTTAAATATGTAAAATATTTTAAATCAATTATAACTTAATTATATTTATTTTCAATTTAAACTTTGATTTGTATTTTAATATATTGTGCTTTGGTTTATTTTTTATCGGCTTTTTCTCAAAATTTCTTTTGCTGTTCGCAATGATAAGAAATTGTGAACATTTTGTAATCGTATATCAAAAGGAGTTTCTTTTTTGTTGAATAAGTTTGTTTTAAAATAAAAGAAAGATGGATAAGTTTCGATATGTATAACCTAAACGTGGTGAGACCAGGGCAATTATTATTTGTGATATAATTACCAATTGCATTACTGCAGTACAATTATAAATTATATAACAAATAATATGACCTGATCGTTTTAATGTAATTGAAGGATTTGTTGAGTTGTTAGGGAGATTGTTGATTTTTAAAATTATAGATTGGATTTTTTTATTATAACGTATAGTGCATTTTTAAATACTGTAAAAGACCATAGGCTTTAGATTTTAATGGATATTTCAAAACATATGATTTGATAAAATGCAATAGACCTATTCTGTCTCCTTTTTGATTAATCAGGACCATTCTAAATATTTCAATAAATATGAAATCCTGTTACAAGTACTGATTTTATTATTTCCAATGAAAAACCAATCGATGAATTCGTAAAACAAGAATAGAGCTCTTTTTGAAACATATAAATACATAATAAAAAATGGAATCATTTTAAATACTAATCTCATGTTTTGGAATTTGGACAATTAAACATTTTGCTTGTATCATTTTACTTGGTATAATCATAAACGAACTTCACATTTCAGTATTGAAAGTTTAACAGCACTGCAATGGATCGCAAAAATCATATTGTTGGCGCGTTTACTAGTTCCCCAACTACACATAGAGTGCGTTAAAAACCAATGATTTGAAGGGTTTGAGAAATGGCGATGATAATGCGAGGATAATGTAGGAAGTGATGATGATGAGGGTAAGGTGAGGAAAGGTTGTGCGTTTCGTCTCAGAGTCGCTGCCTAGACTCATCAGTGGGGCTGATGGCAGCGACTCCTTACCCCAGACGCTTGTTGTTGTAACTATTCGCTAAGGTTGGATATTGGTTCACCACCCATCCTAGCGGTTCCGCACTCTGTTTGCTTAACATCGAATATCGGTTGACTTCGACGCTAGGCGCACAGCCACTTGCAGCTTGTGCAAGTTGGTGTTCGAAACTCGTACTCGAGGAACTATAGGTCGCTACAGATTTTTTACTAGATCGGTATTTCAGGTCACGGACCACGAAAGTCCGTAAGATGCCATATCTATTCATATATTTCGTCTATGATTCTACCAACAACCTTTATGAAAATGTAAAAGTTGAGATACATAATTTATCTACTTTTTATTTGTATATTAAATATTTATTATAAACGTAATAAATTATTTAAAAAAATATCATTACCTATCCCATATGGTGAATTAAAACATTCGGGAAGAGCGATGATATCAGCATTTTGCTTTTTCGCGCTTGAAATATAGGAAACTGCTCGCTCTATATTGTTAACTTTCACTTCATTCACTTCGAGCTGTATTAATCCTAAGCGAAATGCTAAAATGTTGGAAAAATTGAATACATTAGATTATATACTTCTCAAACTTTATCTGTAAATTACCTTATGCAAAGACAATTAAATACTTACTCGACATTGTTCGCACTACTAGTTTGGCAATGTTCGTAAATACCATAATGTTTTTCGAGGTTATGTACATTTCTACTTTTTATCAATATTACGTAAGAAAGATTAAGCAAGACTTTATAATAATTAAGATATTAAATATGTGTTAGAATTATCAAGCAAAGACAAGAAGGGAACCATGATTTTGTAAAAATACGTTTTATTATAAAATGTGTATAAACAAAATTGTACAATTTCCAATGAAAGTAAAATGTCCAGACACATTCCTGAAAAATATTACAGCCTACTAGAAGATCGGGATCTTGACCTTCCTCGTTTCTTATGTTTTCTTCTATCTGTACAATCTCTCGACTTTTTATCTCTAATTTTTTCTTTTTCTTTATCCTTTTTCTTGTGTTTCTTGCTCAATCTTTCTGGTGAATAATCATGTTTCTTATGTTTCTTTGACTTTTTTGATTTCTTTGTTTTATGAGAGTCATCACTGTTAGAGCTACTTCTTCGCTTTCTCTTCTTCTTCTCACGACCATTATCACTGTCACCTTCAGATTCAGGATATTTTTTTTGCTTTTTTGACTTTCTATCTGTTTTATCATATTTGTCCTTATCACATACATTACTGTTCTTTTTTTCATCATTACTTTTGTTATCATCTTCAATGTCTTCAGAATCATCAGATATTGACTCTTTTCTGTCTGTTTTATGTTTGAATTCCTTTGATTCTTTGTCCTTATATTCTTCATACTTCCTCGCATCTAAAATTAGTCCCATAAAATACTAAAAGCTAAAACCTATATATTTATCCTGATTCTTATAAAACTGGAAGGAACTTTTAAAAAACTGTATACATATTTACAGGAATTCGTAAATTAGATTTTCTATATCTAATTTTGTTCTTAAATGAACATGTCATATCATAGGTTTGTTGTTGTTTTTTTAAAGTCCCTTAATAAAAAACTAATTACTCATACTAACTTAAAACTTTTGAATTCTTCGAATACTCCGATTTAGTCACTGGCTGCACCATAAATTCATTTACAGATATTGTATTTCCACCGAGAGCTAGTTTTATTATGAGTCTCCCTGCATCGTCATCAAATCCCTCTATTTGACCATAGTTGTTGCTCTGTTTCCCAGCTATAATTTTCACGTATGTTCCTTTTTCGATTTTAAGTTCTTCTTCTTGTTTCTTGGAATCTGCACTTTTCTTTTGTAGTGTTACTTTGTCTGCTCCAAGACCCATTCCCTTTGGTCGTAATTCTGGTATAACAGCTGATACAACTCTGTAATGGTTGCAATAAAAAATTATGAATGATTTTATTTTCCAATAAGTGGTATATTAAATGTAAAATTAATTTTGTCTAGAGTAAGATTCATACTTTTCATTTTTACCAATTCCTTTCCCTGGTTGCCATCCCATTCCTCGCAACATTGCTACACCAAAAGCATCAATAGGAATTCTTTCATAATCTTCCAATGTAGACTGAAAAAGATGAAACAATATTTATTTACACATATAATATAATATAATACATTTGTATACAGTATCTGTATATAGTAATAATGTACCTGCTCTTTGCCTTTTAATGATTCATCTTCTACCAAAGGTAAAGACAAATCATTTGTTTTAGTTTCCTGTTCATCTTTCGATTTGAGTTCCTGAATGATTTCTTTAGCCGCTTGCTCCTCTAAAGTAACAACTTTATTTTCATTATTCTCAACCACTTCTTTCTTTATTGATGTTTTCGGCGGTGATTTTCCATTTGATAGTTTTGATTTTTCTCCCTCGTCATCTACCTCGATGTCGTCTGTCTTCTCTTTAGTTGTCTTAGATACAAAAATGTCTGCATCTACTTTATTAACAATTCTGTCATGCCAAGTTCTTGAACCTAGCAATGGAATAACTAGAGGTTCATCTTTCTTTTCCTCTCCGCTATAAAAGATTGTTTTAAAAAATATTTATTTTATTATTAGCAAATTTTATAGGTTAGGTTAAGGTTATGTATTTTCTATTCCTTGAACTTACCCTATTAATTTAATACCTTTTTCGTCGAGGCATTCAATATAATCAATTTTCTTTTCCTCTTGCGGAATAACATTTTTTAACACAGATTTCTTAATAGATTTTGCGAAACCGAAAGAAACCTTTTTTCCTTCTTCTGCCATTTGTTTATTACTACACACTGATTTACAGATCAATACGTATACGTATACGTATACGTATAAATATTAATTTATTAAAACCACAGTACATTTACTTAATATCATACTTTGTTAGTTGATTTGTAACCATTTATAAATTTTATATTGAAACATTTTTACAACAATGTATCGAACACCAGAATAAAACAACATTAGAGTCACTAACCTATAATATTTGAAGATCAATATTACGTGTTCGCATGAAGAGTGCAGCTCTTAATTTCTGTTCGAGCCGTTTCTTGATAGGCTCAATTTTCAAATGGAGAATTTTCAACATAATGCTTATATCAAGAGATAAACTTCGGATCATTTTGTATTTAAAAGAAATTTAAATGTACAAAATGTCCATAATATGCCAAAATATAAAATATTCGAGATAGAGTAGTTGGTAAAATACATATTTTATATTTAATTTTTATTCTTTGACAATCTACTAATCGTAAGTATAATGTGTTTTTTATTACATATATCGATTATATATCGATTTTATGCACAGCGCTATTATGTTTAAAATTTACTTAAAATTATTCTATTTTTAGGTCACTTTTTCTTCTGCATTTTTTTTTTTTTTTTGCATTCTACACAGACCTCGCCTGTGTAAATGATAATATTTTTAAAGTATTATTATTAGAAGAAACAAAATAGGAATTACTTTCTTTCTACAAGTATAGTTATTCTGTCTGTTTATAATCTAGTTCAACTGTGAACGATCGTGATATTTAATGCTAATTTTCGAATGTTCAAAATGTTAACAAATAGATGAGCTCACCCTCACTATTTCCTCCTTTGTTTCGCGTCTAATTTTTAGAATCGTTTATTTAAAGATCTTTTTTTTCTCTTACTACGTTCACGTTTACTGTTAATTTACCTATCGCTCGTTTAGTCTAAGAGTTTTCCAGAATTCTATCGCTTAATGTCCTGTACACGGACAACAACACTGTCCTATTCCAGTAAGCTTCGTTAAACAATCGTTTTCAATCACGTCGACACGCTGATCGCAGAGGAAGTCATTTACTTGCCTATCTCGTCGATATAAGAATTACAGTTAAAAACAATGACCAATCGAGAACGGTAGTTAAGCCAGCTAGTAGAGGGGTGAGCGTGTTTTACCGGCGACAACAGCACACGGTATGCAGATACGAAGCCGGGGTAAACCGGGAAGCCGTAGTTCACGGGACTGTAGTAAACGTGATAACTCCGAACAGTCAACGACATTCGGAAGCCGGCCACGTTCTAGAATTCAGGTAAAATCTATTTGCTCAATTTTTACTTGAAACTCTTCTACTTGCAAATTATCACACGGTTAGGAATTTTATATTTTTGGGTGAATCGATAGATTTTCAACCAATTTTTAACAATCATTCATCATAAGCCGTGTAGAAAAAATTTTGTTTTAATTTATATTACGGGGTGTATCAGAGAATTCTAACGAAATGAGAATTAGTTTTAGAAATAAAGATACATAGAGTTATAGTAGTTTTTTGATTTCACTAATTATTTGATAAACAGAAGAATGAAATTTCTATTTCAAATAGTAGAGAACATTTTTGATTGTAAAAGATTGATTAAAATTGTTAATAATATTGATTAAATGTGATCTGAATTTTAAAATTGATTGGAAAATGTAGTATTCATTATATTTATTCATTTATATTGAAACACAAATTGACAAAGTTAAATTTACAGTTTCTTCACTGATTTTTGTCAAATGTTAAAATATTTTGTCAGAAACTTACAATTTATTGTTTTTTTTTCAAATATTTTTATACTTTTGTCCTATACGCACGCATTATTTTACATTCGTACACAAATTATTTCTTAAATTTCAACAAGTTTTATTTTTTACACGAGAAATTTCGTTTTTTACAATTTTTATTAAAATCCAACTCATCTTATTTATTCTACGGAATAAAGTTCGATTTAATTAACTTTTCTTAGTACTCCAAGCCATGCTTTCAATTTCATTATCCATACGATAAATCATCAAAAGTTGAATTATTTTGTTATTCCTCTTCAAAGCTCTTCACTTACCCGTTATTCAATTTCCTCTTCAGGATCTCATCGCGAAACCAACAATTAACTACTGTTCACCAGCAAATATACGGGTGATGGAATTGAAAGAGCAAGGCAATAGAGATTAGTAATGTGACGTTTAGTTTGTTCAAAGTTGTTTTATCTTTTCTACATTTCGCGAAATTTTATGCAAATTTTTAACAAAATTTAAAGATACGTAATTTATTCATATAATTTATATATATACATGTACATAAAATTTTTTATACCTAATAATTATACTAATAATTAATATTATTATGTATTACTTATATATATAATTTATTAATATTTATAATATTATAATGTATAATATATGTATACAAATGTTGGTGTTACTGTATTATATGTATTAGGCACTGTTTTTTGAGACATACTCGTATCCTTTTATCTCAATAGAATAGAAAAATCCAAACTGGTTTATAGAGGAAATATAAGTTAAGTAAATTAGTTATAGTTTGTATGGAAAATTTATTCAAGTATCTAAAATGTTTTCAACAGCATGTCATTTTTTTCTTCATGTATCTAGAATGTAATCTAGATAATATAGTGTAATGGAAAAATTATAATATGCTGTCTTGATGCAATTTTTAATGCAAATGTGAAATGTATGACCGATAATACATGTCGTCGTTTGTTTTACATAGAGAAAGTTCAACGTAACGCACACAAAGGGCTGAGAATCATAACTGATTCTCACAAGATAATTTTCTGTTCATTATTGTACATAAAAATATACATTACAATGTAAATTATGTTAAATTCAATTATATATAAAAAAAATTAGCTATATCCTTTCAATTATTTCATTGTGAAAGCAAACACGTGTGACATATTTAAAAAAACAGAGTGCAGCTAAATGCAAACTCTGAAAATTCCTGGTCCACCGTGCAAAATCCGCGTGACGGTGTCAAGAGTGTTCCAAAACTGCTGGCTGGCAAATTAAAGCGAGTCCGCGAGCCTAACTGTAAAACGGCAAGCGTAACTGTGCAGAGTCGATGTTAACGGGCAAGATCTTCCGAAGATTTGTTCCGCTATGCCTAGACATTTTATCCTTTGTTTCCCCGTCGCTTTTTTTTCCTTCTTTTTATCGCTCTGCGAAAGCTGTTGCCCGTCGTGCTCTTAACCGTGCAACAGCCAGACAAAAACCAGAACGTATATCGTACGTAGTGTTCTGTTTGTGATACGGTTCACGAACTCACGGACAGATTTTTCACGACTAAAAGAAGAAAAAAAGAAAAGGAGGAACACAAGCCAATTTTACGGTGGTCTCATTGTTGTCACGTACAAAATCTCACGCGAAGGTTGCAGTTATTTTCGTCTCTCTTCGATTTTTCGTTCCTCGTTCTGCAAAGAAGGGAACGATGATGATCATGGATAAAATATAAATTGACGATGGGGTGATGTAAGAAAAGGCAGCGAAGCTTGAAGTGTATAATATAATTTGTACGTTTTTCTTTTCAACTTTGAGAATCAATTTCAAGTTCAAGGATCAACGTTGTTATAATAATTAGATTGCCACAAGTACAAGTTCTGGTTTTATTTGCATTTGGAGAGATTTGGTTTTATTATTATAAACGAATCAAGTTTCATTTCGTTTGAGTTCCTACGTAGCTACATATCCCCGTAATACAGGGTGGGCCAAAAATCACTTCCTACTAAAATAAATCCGTAATTCTTTTCATTACATATTTAAAAAAAGTTTTCTTTTACACAATCGAGAAGATCATGTTTAAACTTAAATTTAATTTAAAATTAATGAAATAAAAGTTTTCCCTTATATTTTGATGTTTTATTAAAAAGAAAAAAATAAGTGGCAAGTTTGGCTCACCCTACATGTCCGTTAGCAGTTCGATTTTCCAAAATATTGACGTTAATGTTGACTCGGTTGTTACAAAAATTAAATCAACGCAATTTTGATTCGTCTCTATCCTATATTGTTAAAACAATTACGTCATCCATAAGAACCATAAGTTTTTTCATTTCACTTTCCTGTGAAGGAAAGGATTTGGTTTCAAGGATTACCGACACTCTCGATTGTACATTTTATATTTATATTCAATAATTACGTTTATATTATATAACCACGTTAAAAATTAATGTAATTATTAAACAGCCCGCAGTACCTAAATAATAAAAATTTTCGACAGCCAAGTGTCCATTGTTGTCGAATGTTTCGCAAGCGGAATCGGCGGCTGGCGGCGTTGGTGCATTGAACTCTCTCTCTCTCTCTCTCTCTCTCTCTCTCTCGGTGGCTGCGCGCGTACGCGTATCGAGTCGAATTCTGGTTCGATTTCGCGGGAGGATGTTATGGTAAATGTAGTCGAGTGAACAATCGCGCGACCGGATCTACGTGTTGCCCGGAACTCGGCGCATAATGCCGCGGAAACGGCATGGGAAATTATATTTGTTATGGGGAAGAATCGACGACGCGCGGTCGGGGACACGATTTCATCTGACCGCACGGGTTTACCGGACGGAACGGTCATTAAACGTCTGTCGCTGGCCATCGAACGTTTCACTAAGGTTTCGGTGAAAGTTCACGTTTGACATTCACGTTTCATTTCGGCTGGTAATTTTAATCTCGATGCGCGATTTGTTTCCCCTTCCATTTTTTTTTCTACGTTTTCAACGTACCACTATTTAAAGGCTACCAACTCCAGCTCCATAAATTACGAACATTATTTTAGAATTTATAGTTGTGACTTACGAAAATAAGATTTTTTTCTTTTTGTTAAATATTTATAAATGCTATGCTTAGATCACAAGACGTTGAGGGTGGATTCAGATCGTGGAAAGCTCGTATATTCATCTGAACAGCGTTCAAATGAAGAATTAATGTAATGAACTAATATGAAATAATAATAATCTGTGTGATTTTTCAAAATTTAAAATTGTTTCTATACAACATACGATATCATAAGGGTTCTATACCGGTTTCTAAAATGTGGGTAATCGTATTTATTTTGTTTGGAAAATTATAATTCATATTCTGTTTTAGTTTCTGTTTTAGTTTGTGTTGTAATTAAACTGTATTACGAAACATCTTTATAAACATCGTGAATGTTCACAATGTTTATGACACATCTTTATGAACTTGTTACGTGTTTAATTCTTCTACGACATTTCTATATAATAAATATTCAAAATTGAATATAGATTATTCTTTCTCAATTTTCAACTGACAATTTTATTTTAATTATATCTTTTCAGACAGACAAATGTAATTAAATAATAAAATATTCCAATTTCAGATAGTAATTATTCTTTCTTAATTTCGATTTTCAACTGACAATTTTACTTTAATTATATCTTTTCTAGATAGACAAATACAATTAAGTAATAAAATAGATAGTGATTTTATATTCACTAGTAATATAGATAATATAATAGATAATAATAATATAATAATAATATAATAATATAGATAATATAATAATATAATAGATAGTAATTATTCTTTCTTAATTTCGATTTTAACCAACAATTTTATTTTAATTATACCTTTTTCAGATAAACGAAAATGCGGCTGCTCCTGTTTCAAATATCGCCGCTGTTGTACCTGCTGACGGAGATCGGCGCAGCGGGGATCGGCAAAGCATGGCAGATTCTCCCATACGCGACCGATTACTGGAATCACCCATCGTGGCCGCGGCTCGACTCATCCGCGTTCGAAGTTCGCAGCGTGAGCGGCGTCGGTCATCTCAACCCTCTAGAAATCACTCAAAGTGATACGAAGAAACTCGACCAACCGAAGTCCGCGGAACCCAACACCGTTCGAACATCCAAAACACGCTCTGCGTTTAACCAGAAGTATCCCGTTCGATTCGAACCCATCCTCGACGATTCGTACGAGACGAACAACGCGGAAGTCGACGACAAGATCTTTGGAACAGAGACGGCGATGACCGTGTTACATCCGAAATATGACAAAAATCCGTCCAAGGACGAGGCAATGAAAGCTGTGTCGAGGGTACGTCGCGACACCGAGAACGAAACGAAGTTGGAGCAAATATCTAGCAGTAAGAACGTTCGAGAGGTGCGTCTGAGCTCGCCGGAGAACTGGTCCACGCAGCCGCTGTCAATCGAGTTCTCCCACAGAACTGGCCTGGACCAGATGATCCAGCAAACCGTGGACGACGAGGAATTGCCAAATGCGAGAGGTTACCACGCTCCGCGCGCCGATTTCGTCACCAGCCCGCATAGAAGGAGTTACGAGTACCGAGAGGCGAGAGACATGCCAGCTACGAGAGGTTACGACGACTACGACGCCCCGTGGTACAGAAGCGTCGTCAGGGACCGAGACTACGATCCTCCCGCCTATCGTCGTGGCTACAATTACTATTACCCCGATCGGTACAGAATGGAAAGAGACTACTACATGCGCGTTCCAAACGATTATTCGTACTATTACGATCGGTACAGGGACGAGGATTTGGACCTCTACGGTCGTAGCAGGCCGACGCCCAAACCCAAGAGGATCATCTACTACGCCACACTTCCGGAAATAGTGAGGAAACCCGTGGATCTGAGAAACTATCCCAGACCGTACGACGGAACCAGAACCGTGCCAGTTTCTAGGGATGGAAGTTACAAACGTATACCGGGGAACGTCGATCCCAACAGATACCGATACAGACACCTTTACGATGGTTACGATAATTACTCGAAGAGATCGAGCTTCGAGAGGCCTTACACTTACACCGAGGACAAGGAGGAGAGCCGTCGTAAAGCGACGCTGGAGAATCTTCGGAATAGCGACCCGTACGATCAGAACGGGGACAGGAAGTTGGCCAATCAGATCTCGGTGAGGAGCGACGGGAAGCTGCCCTGGCCGGTGCAGATCGGGACGGAAGTGAGCGTGAAAGATAACGAGAGAATCTCTGGAAGGAAGATCTTTGGGGAGAGCAACGGGTACGAGAGATTCCAAAGCGCGCAGCTGCAGAAGGCACCGGACGCGACTGGCTCGAGCGAGCTGCAAAGCGATAATTAAAATCGTCGGAATGAATTTCTTTCTTTTCGCAGTTTTCAGTAGCAGGACTCGATCGAGAAGGATTCTGGATACCGATTTGCTTGCTTTCACGCGTTTACTGCCTTTTTCTACTAAATTTTGACAAACACTCTGACAAGGATAGTTTATAAATTGGAAAATTCAAAAATGTTTGGAAATTTTCATACAAAGACAAAGAGGAGAGAAACAGGGGATGTCTTAATAGTAAATGATGTTTCAACGTTTACTGCGCAAACCGGAAATTCTCAGTAAATTAAAACAATATTAATTTCTGTAGCTTCTAGGATTTCTCTATTTCTTTGAATTAAGCATCTGTACATCTTTCCCTTTTATTTCGAATCTTCCAGTAAACTAGAATAATTCTTTCTTAATTCCTTGAAGACAAGATTTCTTATAAACGTCAATGTTCCCGTTACAATCTTGATATAATTTTTATTAGAGAACACGCTTTGCTTAACAAAGTAAAATTTCAGAATTTTGTTGTTGTACATTGTTGTAGTTGTACAATATAGAATTTTCGAAAATTTTTCGTCACAATATCACTTTTAATTTAACTTCTTTTTCTGTATTTTATGTATTATTCTTATACATATTTCATAAATATTCACTGCAATGAGGGGATAACTCAATGCCCAGGATAATTTTTTCAGCAAGAAAGAAATTTATTCCTTTATTATCAGCATGTAAGTGACATTTCGTGCAAATTTTTAGATTTTTCTGAATTTTCCAGTTGTCGAACTTCCCTTGTAATATTCAAGTCGAATGTTGTTAAAGTTGAGGTCAGGATAGCTCTTTCAAGGCAGATACTTTTATAATCAAGTGTATTGTGATTTTACGGACTCTGCGTTATTTCTCCTTACTTATTTGTCATTATACATCGCTCGTGGTATTTGCCCTAGTGCTTGCGATTAATATTTTTAACACAGAATTCTTTTAACGAGATTTTTCTGTACCGATTTCTCATCGTCGAATATAAATTCAATATAGTTTACAGTAAAGAGCCAAAGTACTTACGTATCACAGGGGTTGGTGACGATTTCCAGACAATTTCTTTTATGTACGAAATCTTTAGAAAAAGGCGAACTGTATTTATTACTAAATTATATTGAACACAATGTTGCATTGTACATTTTGTTTATTAATATACAGGGAAACGATTTTGAGAAGAACTTATATGGAACCTCATCTTCCTCTGATCCTTCGTTACATCTTTATTTTCTTCATCTTTCTCAATAAAAACTTTGATAGATCACTAGAAAACTGACTCGTTGAAATTATTCGATTTAGTTCGATTATCCATGGATTAATCTAGAACCATTAAGTTTTTTTTAAAATATTATTAAATAAATTGAAATGTAATTTCTTTTTTCAGCAATAAATTACCGAATTTTTGGTCTTTCCATTAATAAATCCGGATAATTCATCGGGCGTCATATTCAAAATGTTGCAGATAGCTTCGTGAGTTTCCTTTTCACCTGCCTCGCTCTCGTTTGATTTTTGCGCTTCGCGATCATCATTTCGCTGTTTGTAGAGTTTCTTCAGAAACTCCTAATTTAAAAGCGACGTTTAATAAAATTAATAATATACAACGATCTAATCCAAGAGTCATCTCCTTATCGAACTATCCAATAATTCTCATATTTACTTTGATAGCGTTTAAATACTCGACATTTTGAGTTTCAGTGGCCAACAACTTTGTTTTCATAAATTTAATAGTCTCCTCGTATTTATTTTTAATGGTCTCAATTTCCAGTTGCACTGCTTCTTCACATCTTTTGGCATATTGCATTTCCATCTAACATGGACCAAACAATTCTATACAAATATTATTTACGTAGGAATTATTAAGCTATTTAATACATAGTTTGTAACCTTTTCCTTTGTGTCCGCTTTGGATTTCTCGTTGTCCGAGAGTAATCTATCTTTCTCGTTACTCAAAACTAAAATCTAATGGAATAAATTAAATAAATTCACTAAATTAATAAACTAGAAACAAGAATAAATTGCACTCATTCAAAAACTAAAATCAAGTAGAACAAGTTGGTCGGTAATTTTTTTAAAAAACTATTCGAAGAAGTAGTATACATACTTTTGCTCTCAATTGCGAATTACTGTTTCGAGTATTGCTGATTTCGTTCTCCAAACCATTCACTTTAGATAACAATTGATTCTTCTCTTTAGTTAAATCGGCCAGCTGAGCTTTGTAGCTGTTCAGTAAAAATCCCTTGTTGGCGTTTGCTGATTCGAGCCGTACTAATCTGAACGATCGAATCTTGATTATTTTGTCGAAAACAAACGTAACAGCGTTAATATTAAGAGAGAGAGACGATATGGTAATCTCACTAACAGGGGAAACTTTTCCATTTTGAACCAAAGACGAATTACAGTCTTATGTGTCACGTTATAAAAAAAAAAAGTTCTCAATCTCAATAGGACACTTGTGTAATGCCATTGTAGTACAGGATTAAAAACAATAATTATGCGCTCAAAGATTAAGCTTGAAGTTTTCAGCAAGTTGTGAACACTAACGAGCCTCTTCTCATTAACAAATGTCAAATACTTGTTTCTAAGTTGAACAATGGTCGCCGAATCCTCCTCGACCTTTTTCTTCAGATTCGTCAACTCTCTGCTCTTGCACGCGTCTCGAAAGTGCCCAGTATGATGCTGCTTTCCTACGGTGTGCTTCAACCAGTCCCGCGTATCGTCTATCTTCCTCTTCAAGGAAAGATTCTCGCTTATCAGACCGTTCAAATTCGTTTCGGTTGCCTCCATTTCTTGCTTCAGCTGGTCGAAGCATTTGCTGATCGACTCGTACTCCTCAGATTTGTTCCTCAACTTTTTCCGAGTCGTGGCTAATCTCCGTTTCAATTTGTTCGATTTCGTCACTGCCGTTTGTAGCTGATTAAAGGGAAGCAAATGAAGTGGAGTCTGTTGCTACATTATTTTGATAAAGAATTTAATTTATTCTCTACTATATTATCCTATCTATTATATTATATCGTAATATAATGTTTATAATAATGTATCTATATTATATATTATATATTATAATTATATTATATATTATATATTATATATTATAATAATAATTATATAATATATTATATATTGCTATATATTACAAGTGTGTATATATATTTGTACTATGTATAATAAATTATAATTAATATAATACAATACGTAATATACGTGTAATTATATTATAAATTATTAGGAATTATAATTTATGTTATGTATTATATTATTTATAATTTATTATAGTGTAATATAGTATTATAGTATAATATATATATTATACATCATGAATAATTTCGGGTGAAACTAAATGGATTTTTAAACAATTAAAAAATCAAATAATAGCTATAGGGGAGACATGATCGATACGATAAATTGTACAAAATTAAAGTTAAAGTAAAGCTAATGCTTTCTTTGTCTAGATGTCATATTAATGGATTACATGGTTTCGTTTTAAAAGAATAAAGAGAATTTTCATGTCAAAGAACTATTTCAAAAACACCGGACCAAACGAATAAAAAAACTAATTGTAAGTTTGGGCTTTGGATACAGTTTTTCTTTACGTATGTGTTACATTATGCGTGTATTTGTTTTAAAAATATTTTACATTGGAAATACCTTTCTACGTAATTTATTCGTAATCCTCTGGTGACACTTTAGTTTCCCGTGAGATTTAATTTGATAGCAGGCAGTCTTTTTACGATCCATCGAACGAGGACCAAAGTTCTCCAAAACGGAAGTACAAATTCGCACGATGTTCTCCTGCAACACTTCGCTCTCCTTTCGAGCTTCAGTTCTCGCGTTTTCCAGCAACCTGAGTTATAAATAAGAATTTCGTTAATATAACTATGTTTTCAATCGGAAATTTGCAGGAGCCTCATGTGACTTTACCTCTTGTACTTTTCTTTCACGATGAATTTCGCCTTTAAAGCGTCCTCGAGGTCTTCCTTCGTGCGACTGAGCTTTGCCTCGAGTTCCGATATAATTGTCACGCATCTAACAGTCGTGAGGTATTATAGAATGTAAATTAGCAAGGTGTAACATAATTAAATTAAATTTTCCAATTTTCGCACGTAACGAGCAGAATATCGTTTAATATTACAACTGATAGTTATAAATATATACATTTCACGTATATGAGTATGACGTATGAAATAAATATTAAAAATATTATATAAAAATAAATATGTATATTATTATGTCATAAATAGATAATATAATATTATGTTATAATAGATAATATATTATTATGTTATAAATATGTCGCTTAATGTTTGCAAAAATTATGTGTAAAAAAAAAACTGTACACATATATAACACAAGCATGTTTGAAGCAGAAAAGAAACGTAACTCCACAGAGTTGTTTCCATTTGAAAAAATTATGTTACTTAATAACTCAAGAAGATTCTAAACTCTCGAAACTTTCTTTTTTATATTCTTTCATAAATGTCAAAATAATAGGCGGACAATTCTGCTAGATTTCCGATCTGGACATATATAATTTGATATGAAAAGAGTGGTTGGTCTATTATCCGGAAATTCCATTGAACGAACGAGTTTTGTCTGTTACGGATATGGGAGGTTCCGCTGTACCATAGGTACGAGTCTGAGGGAAAAAATTTCATTAATCCACCGCTACATTAACTTCGGCATATTTTAGCACGATCGAATTTCTACTGAATTTTTGGCCGGCTGGGAAAATCGCCAGACTTTCTCGATTAAAAAAACAGACCGCTTTTATGTATTCTCTATAAACTCACTCGGCCTCCTTGTTCGGCGATATTTTCCCCTTTGTCCGTTGCTCGATGCGCTGATTCGATTCCGACGTTCGTGGATATTTCGTCCCGGCAAAAGAAAGAAAAAAAAAAAAAAAGAGGAAAATTTACATTAGGCGCGCTGGGTGATATTATGGGAAAAGTCGTCGTTTGTTTTCCGTGAAAATTTCAATTGAAATCGGGCGGTGTGGATTTTATGAAAAGTTTCTCATACGTTTCGAGAGGTGTATTTTTGTTCAACCTGTTTCGTCGAGGAGAAGGACGAATTTTCCCCGATATCTCGAACTCATCTACGTTATTCCGATTATTAAAATCTTTCGTTTAACAAGTCTAAGAAAACGAGGAGCAACAAATAGAGATAATGAATGAACGCACGGTAAAGTGCAGAAGTGAATTAATAAAGATGAAAAATTGCCGATATTTTGAACCGCTGTAACTTTATGTATTAATCCATTTGGCGTTATTCTAAAATGTAGGAACTCTACTTTGATACTCTTGAGTTTGTTCTTTTTAAAAATGTTTCTGCATCATGTAATAAGCGAGAAAGTAAGGATACTTTTTTTATCGTCGAAAATTGTAAAAATTCGAACGTTTCTGAAAATGTTTAAAAAACTTTTTTACGACCATCCACAGTCTTGAAGATTAAAATCTTCCGTTTACAACGATAAAACTTGCCACGATTTCTTCTCGTCATTTAATTGAACATTAAATATTAAAGTTAAATTTTAAATATTGTAAGATTTCGTCATCTAATGTTCAAAGCTCAATAAAATCGTGAAAAAGATTGTACAAGTTTCAATCTTCAAGATCATGGTAAATCTATGAAAAAAGTGTTTCAATGTTTCTAACTCTCTGAATGTTTAGTTCATATTGTACATAATCTTATAATCACTAATAAAATAATTGATTTGTTGAAAGTTTACAGAGAATAACAATATATTAAATGAAGAAGTGCACATATATATATATATATATTTTTTTTTTATACATATACAATATATATATACACATATGCATTTTTAACTTGTTCATTCAGGATTAAACTCTTAGACTTTGAATAATTTTAAGATAAATTTAAGAATTAAAGACGCTCAAATTTTTGTATGATTTTCAAGAATCAAATTTCCCAAAAATTACATGATAAAAATATTACATAATATCTTCGAAGAAAATTAACAAAACGCTATACGATTTAAAATGAGACAGAGTGCATTGTTATACAATCTTTTTTTCATTTAAGCAGTTATAAATATTTAAAATATCAATCATTTTTCATCGTTATTGGTTTAGTTATGTTTCTCGCTGTACATTAACGCTATACATTGTCTGCTACATGAAACATTTAGTATACGTTTTATCTAAACGTATAATATTTAATTTTCATAAAATATTGTGTTACGACGACAGCGCATTTTTTATTTAATTGTACTTATTCAATTGTTTACGTTGTTTAAAATTTTTCTGTCGATTTCTTCATCTTATTTCAATCATCCTAAAGTATTTGTAAAAACGGAAACCGCCGTGGACGTGTTATTGTAAAAACACGAATCTTATTTGAAACGAGAAGTCTTTGAAAACTAATTGATATAACAGAAACTGATATAAATATCGAACGTTTGAATTCGTCGAATTCACTGACGCACGATTGGAAGTTCCGGACGAATCGCTCGAATTTTCGTTGGAGAATTTTGCAATATTTTAATATACATACTCTTTGCATACCTCAGTCCCCCTGGCGAGGGCTTCCTCGATCAGCCATTGGGGGGCAGGATCCTCGTCGATACAAAATACCGAGGATTGTTTTTGTTTCAAATAAACGCCGAAATGATTCGCGTCAGTTGCTGCTTCATCGTGCAAATTTTTCTCGTTCGACTGAACGGCTTCCATGGATGTTTGCGTGCAAATTGTCTTTGTTTTCACATCGATTCTTTTATCTGAAAGCGTAACATACGTATTTAATGGTATTTTTAAGATTGTCGTATACTTGTGACGAAAAATGGTAAGTATTATTTAATTATTAAATAATTATCATTATTAATGGTAATAGTATTTTTAAGATTGTTGTATACTTGTGAGATTTGAACAATCATTACTAAATACTTGCTACACGATTAACTAAGTGCATTATTCTGTGATACAATTATGGATTACATACACAGCAAATAATATGAGCTAATTGGCTGCATTTGCGATTGAAGAAAGAAATCTGACAAACTCTCAGTTAAATAAGAAAAAAAGAAAGAAGAAGGAACAATTACTTTAATATAAATCTTTTTGAAAAATTACTGTCGCATTACGAATGCTCATGAATTTATAATAAATTCTAGGTTGCAAAAGTGTACAGGATACGTATAACAAAATTGTGAAATATTCAAAATAAAATGCCGGTCGTGACACTGAATACTTAATCGATCATCACTAACAAAAGTACAATTTAGCACAAACGATCCGCAATCTAATTGACGTTTTCAACTTTCACCACTCTAAATATACTCGTTCTGAGCCACATTAGTCCAAAAAGCCCAAATATTCATCCTAGTTAATACCCTAATTAACATCGCCGTGCAAAACGTACGACAAAGTCTATTAAAAATACCAAAAGTTTATGTAACTGTAATTCCAAAACGGCTTAAAATTTCTGGTAGGAATAGATATCGTCAGAAGCGTTGAACCTTCCCCTTTAAAACGCTGTTTGTCTTATTTCGATACGATTTTTGGTTCCTGAGTTATCGTCGCGTAAAGACAAGGGTAATTTTCGGCCGGTTCCTATCCCTGTCCTTGTCGCACTTCTGCCCTCTCTCTCTCTCTCTCTCTCTCTCTCTCTCTTGCGCTGCTTTTCACTGACCTACCGCATACCGAATCCAGTGACAATGGTCAGTGACAGACAGATTTCCAGGAAAAAATGTAGGTCACGGCGTCTGGCGGCTAATCCAAGATGGCGGACGGTCTGGCGCGAATTTTAACTCGTAAACTTTGAAACGCTGTATCTTCCGAACCGATTGAGACATCGGCGTGAAACAAAGCACGTTTTAAAGGGCACACTTCCTACCATTTTTCGAAGCTAATCTATTTTTTTTTTTTTTAAATGCCGTTCGAAAGTGTACTTTTATAAAATTCCTTTTATAAAATTTATAATATATATAGGTTAGTACATAGATTAGTTTCTTCCGATGAAATGTAGAAAATTTTGAAATGAGAAGCGATCTTCAAATAGAATATTTCAAAACGAAGTGCCGATTATTAAAAAATATGGGGAAATCAGTTACGCACGATTCCTGAAGAGACAGAGTGAAAATAAGATTTCGGTTGTTTTGAAACTAAATTTTGAAACAAAACAAAGTTACGAAAATTGTTTTCAGCAAGGTTTCATGAAATATAAATTAGTTTTATTAAAAACCATGTATTAATAGCTTCAGTGAGTCCATAAAAGCTCTTTTCGATTTAGTAGAACGATTTCACTTTTCACTCCTTGATCAGTTTCGATCCTTTTATTTGTAACATTGACTAATCTTTACAATCTTGTGGAAATAAGTGATATTATCGAAAGAGCATTTACCTCGTGCAAATGCTCCGTACGCTACTGCCCCTTGGTGGTTTTTCTCGATACTATTTATAGCAATGACGTATCTACTATACCGATAAATTCACGTGAAATAACAATGACTGATATCACACGATTAACATATTAGAGTTAGTAACACGTCAGCATACGTATAAATATGTTTTATATACTCGTTTATATTCAAATTAGTTTGAAGTTTTACCAATATTAATTACGTTAGTTGTCTCTTATTATTTGCGACGAAATTTCGAAATGTGTTTTACGTACGCTGCATACCGTAAATAATAATCACTTGTAAACAAAGTATTTATCCTTATTTATTTATAGAATGAAAATTTATCTTTATTTATTTATTTGTTACTTATAAATCGACGTGCGATACAAACGTTTTCACACGTTTCTTAAATACCATGATCTCGGCAGTTTTTGGACGATTTTGACTATTAAAGTCGTCAATCGATTTCGCAGGATGTTGCGCGTCTTTTCGAAAATTTATATAACGCAGAGATCTTGTAATTTTGAAAAGATTAACGAACGCGAATTAGTCAATAGCATTACGTGATACAATCATGAATTACATAGTGAATTGTGTTGAATTGTGATTATATTTTCGTATATTTTAGAGAATTGGTCAATGAGAGTATCATTAATTCCTGAATTGCGAATTTTTTTTTGTAATATATAATGGAGTAGGTAATACTAAGATATTGTGAAAAATTAGATTACATTTTGATCAATATAATATAATAATGTAATATAATTTTAATAATATAATATAATATAATAATACATAATATAACATAATATAACATAATATAATTTTGAGTCAAAAAGAGCAAAGGAGAAAAATGGCGACATCAAAAATAGAATATAAATTTCAAAGTCCTGAGTTCTACGGGTCTACATACGTCGAACAACATTATACGTCGGAAAACATTTCACAATCACAGTTCTCGAATTTTAGAACATTGGAATACCACCTTTTACATTAAAGTGTCACAGTATCACTAATAAAAGCAATAAAGGCATCGCACAAATCATATAAATATAATTTGTCATCAAGAGAAACCTCACGCGAACGGAATCTAATTATCGAACGTAGTTTTTCAAACACTTCCATTCAGAGCTCTCTTTTTTTTTCGATCAGAGGAAACTCCACGTCGATGCAAATTAAAGCAGCAAATTAAAAACGAAACGTGACCGTAAAGAGGAACTTGCGACGAGACTTTTAGAGTCGAATTACTCTAAACAAATACGTTTAGAGTACGAAGATTATTGTTACTGGACGGCGGTCTCGATTGTGGTGAAACAGCCAGTTGACAACGTGCAGGGATACAGCTCGGTCGGACGCGAAATTTCAGCAAAAGGGGGGACCGAGGGTGAAGACGATCAGACACGACTATCGAGACAAAACGAATCATCCTCTCTCCAACTCCAATCCGCCGAGACGGACCGTATTATCGGATATTATCGGGCCATATGGAATTTGGGGCCGAAAATAGTCCCGTACAGGGGAAATTGCTAACGACTTAAACGTTGGGGCGGTGCGCAAAGATATAGTAAGTCCCATGGGCCGAGCTGTGATGGATGGGTCCTTGGCCACTCTGTAATTTGAAGGCGTTATATGTGCACCCAGACGCCGTGTACCTTCGCAACACGTCTCCCCCATATGTCCCCGACCTGTCCTCTTTAACTCCGCGCAGTCGATTCTCAGACAGTCGATCATTATAGTTTAACCCGTTGACATGCAATGACTAACTGAATTATTAAATTTTTTTTATAAATATTGCGCTTGTGACATTTTGCAATATAAATGTAAGAGTGTATGTAAAAGTGATCTTCGTTAAGTTTACGCAAATGTTAGAATGGAAATAAAGTATCAGTATCTGGCCTGAATATCGAATTTCATTTAATTCGCACGTCAATGGGTTAACAACGCGGATACGTCTTCAATGTGATGATTAATTTTTTTTTTTTAACTGGAATAGGATGTCATTCGATCGTAAATTTTTTATATTTTTATGTTCGTGCAATTGTGCATCGACAGTAATACATACATACGAGCGCTCGTGTTTTATTATTAAAAAATTTACGATGGTACTTTGTATCTAACGTTTATAAAGCTAAGAAAAAGTCTCAGTTATAAAGAAGACTGGAATATCATTCGATTCATAGAAATAAACATTTTGAACAAATGTAATAACCATATGGGTACATCAAAGACAAGATAAGTAGTGTGCAGATCAAGTAAGATTTAAAAAAGAAGCATACGATGTAAAGATCAGGGATTCATTGAAATTTCGTTTATACGTTCACATTTATATTTATCAATTTCAACGTTTTTATTGTTATTTCATGTTGTTTCGTGTTATTTCACTCGCCTATCGAGTTGATGAGTGTGAGATAAAAAGCTATATCATTGTAATAATTAATTACATTGTATGTAATATATATAATGAATTATTATATATATCATGTATTACATATTATAATTAATATACAATAATATAACTATATTGTCATATTACAATAATTTATTGTAACATCATACTATATTATTACAGTAATGAAGCGATATTATATTAAACTGTATTATTATCATATTTTATTATATTATATTGTATTATTATTATTATATTTTCAAGCTTAAAGTACTGAAAATCGCAACGATGTGTAGACATTGTTCAATAAACTAGTGCTAATTAGACGAAGAGGAAGTGGGTAGGAGGGGGGAGGAGGCTTTACACGCGTAACGTGCGCAGACTAATGAAATTTGTTTGTCAATTAAATGGCGATGCCAGTGAATTTTCCCTATACTTTGCCCCTTGGTCGGCACACTAATTAATTTCCACGCTCGAGTTCACTTTATTTATGCGCGACAGGCTTCAAAATTGCAGCGCGGGCTTGTATATTTACGCGGGCAGGTAGTCTGCGCAGACCGCAGCGTGCAAAAATAGCTTCGCCGCGAATTGGGACCGGTGTTTCGCTGACCAAAACGCCCCTGCGTACAATCTGTAAATTGATCCCAGACTGAATTGATAGCAGGAATGCTCTTTATTTGAAAACGAGAGAGAAAGAGAGAGAGAGAGAGAAAAAGCGAACAAAATATTAATTCTTTTTTCTCTGCGTCGCGATCTGGTTTACGCTGTTCGCGCCAAAGTTCACTCGCTTATACCAGCTGCACAGGCGCGTTAAAAATTAAGTTAATTACCGGTTAATTAACTCGAACTGGCAACGTTTCATCTGTTAGAGTAGTGGCGACGAGTAAAGATCATACTTGGTTGAATTCAAAGGGAAATTGTGCAATTACAATTGTACGATTGTACTCTTTACAACGTTGTAACTGTTTCGCAACAAGTTTGTAAAATTTGAAAAAAAAAAAAGAAATACCTACTTACTACGTATCGAATCGATCTCTTTCATCTGTACCTGTGCATTTATAACATCGTTTACAACGCTAATGTGCTAACTTCACCAGAATACGAATAGAACACGTCGAATGATTAATTTGCTAATTTCAATTCATCCAGCTTTCACAACGCTATACGTACTAATAACTTACATATATAGACAATATAAAAGGGATATGTTCAGACCTACCTAAACTCTCTTACATTCTCCTTTAACATCATACACTTTAATATAACACATTGTACTACATTATGTTACAAAATATTTGTATTACGAAACAATATAATCATATTACAATTCACATTATATTTGTATAATGTAATGTTGCATTATACATCAGAAACAGCGACAAGTGTTTCACCTATCTACGTCGTAACAAAATATATTTTTCCCAGAGCCATTTCCAATAAACTCTGTTTCACCGCGGAATCTCTCGTTTCTTTCAGACGCAGAAGGACGTAGAAGCCCCCCTTTACTTACCCTGCGACCAAATACCATGGAATTATTGTAGATAATACGTGGATAGTTAGTCCACGTTAGTCCGCGATTAGTCTGTCCAACAGGATTATATTCCTCCCCTTTTCATTCCTGCGGTGCCCCGAGGGCAGCAACGCTGGTGATAAATGACCGAATCCTTTAGCGTTTTTTTTTTTTTTTTTTTTACCCGCGGACCGCTTAGCTGATTCGTTCTCTCTCTTTCTCTTCCTTTTACGCCGTCGTCCGTGCACACGAGCCGTCCTCACCCCTTCCCTGCTCTCTCTCTCTTTCTTTCTCTCACCTAACTCCTGTCCCGGAACCTGAGCTGAGACCGGACGAAGGTCGTCGCTGGTCGCCAGTACAATTTCGCCGTAAATCACTGGAAATCGTCGATGTAAAACGCGGATAATTAGATAGACTAACCTACGACGGGGCGCGTTTCTTGCGCGTCAGCGATCGCCGAACGTCCGCTCTGCTCCCGGTTCCTCGTTTCCCTCTGCAACAGACAACGACGACGCGTAAGTTTTTCATCTCGAAACTGGGATTGATGGAATTTATTTGTTGCAACGTGTACGTGCGAGTTCTCAGCTCGATCGGAGATGTCTGTATTTCAAATTGAAGTGAAAGTTGATAAACAGAAATATTTTTCAAATTCGTTAGAGCATTGTCGTCAATTTTCGTGGATCAGGAAGCCATGTGTCTGTGTCTTGACTACCGACCACTAAAGTATAAAGATTGTATTGGAGAAATTAGCGCGCAAAAGGAAGGAAAGACACGAACTTTTGTTCGCGGAAATAAAAATTATCCGAATCAATAGAAAAAAAAAAATAGAACCTTTCAACAAATCCGCAGAATCGTACTGTGAAAAATTATAAATTGGCTATGTTGACCACTTTGGCAGTCAAATTGAACTAAAAGTTAATAAACAGAAATCAATTTCAATTTCAAAGTATAGATTAAAGAATAGAATAAAGCGTTTTTGTTGTAACGATGAACTGAAGGATCTGGAAGAAGCGAGTCAATAGGTTAAGGTCACAGTAGAATTTGCGAAAATATCTTTAACTCACCCTCAATCTAATCGTAGCAGCGTAATTGAGAATTAATGGAAAGTGTTTGTGATTAGATCGCACATTTTTTAATTTGCATTTCTATAAATACCAGTAAGAAAATGAAATCTGAATGGAGATTCGTTTCACGACGAGTATTCTACTATATTCTACGTGTTATTTCCCCCATATTATGTGCATTTTATGAATAGCTCATTTTCAATCCTCTGGTCTGAATAATGTTTCTCGAACGAACTTCTTTTTAGTGTAAACATTACACTAAAATAATTTAGAACCAAAAATATTACATTAAAAGATCATTCAGAATATCCATTTTTTGACGAAGAGATTTGAGCAAATATTTTAAATACCAAACCTTAGAGCTTACAGGATTATTTTAGTCGTTTAGGTAAAGGTTAAGTTTCGTGCAAGTGTGCAAAATTATAAAAATTATAAAAACACTTCATCTCTTGTGTGCCACGCACGTCGAGAATCTTTTGTCCCAAATTGCAACATTTTCTCAAAGTTTTAAATATATTTAAATGTATACGGTTCGGTCACTCGTTATGGTCCACGCGAGGTGGTTCAAATTCGGGAACGAAGATCCAAGATACAAGCTACACGAGCGACTAAGAAAGTGGCTAAGCTGACGCTAATCTTCAGGTCTAGTCGTTGTTTATTCCCGAATCCTTTTAGCCAAGGCAGCAGGGGTGGCGCAGGGACGTTCCATTGGAAAAGTGGCTGAGTCGCGAATAAGAAAAAGGGGACGAAGAGATTTCGTCATTAACGCCGTCGAGCCCCTAACGACGAGTTTTATGCTTCGTCCAGCCCGGGAATCCGCCCTCGGGATCGTTGGAGTTTTAATGCCGCGAGTAAGTCCCTCCGGGCTCGGTGGCACGCAGCGTGCCCCAGTGTGCCGGTACACGACTTGGCTCTTGCCTCTTAAACTTCCACCCAAGAATGGTCATATTTTCATTTCGTGTCATTAACGGATCACGCGCTTTTTTCTCTCGCGAGGGCGTAAAAAGGAAAATCGCGCTTTAAGGTGCGCGTTAATGGGGACGGTTTATTAATCGTAAAAAAAAAAAAAAGAAGAAGAAGAAGAAGAAGAAGAAATGAACGTCTTTTCTGTACAGGAGAGGAGAGATCGTGCCATGGTTTCAAGGTTGGCTGAGAATCGAGTTGTTTGAAGGTATTATGACTGTACGGATCACGTCATTCTGAGATATTAATTGGTAAATGAAAAGAACATAATGTAGTACTACAGCATCATAGTTTTTGTAATGTTGTGACAGTGAAGAATGGGTGATGAAAATTTAAAGATTTCGTCCGAGCTATAATTATTAATCTACTTGTTATTACCTTCTTAATCTTATGTCATAAATTACGCATGAGATTACACGACATGAGATATTATATAAAAACGCAGAATATGTTAGAATTTTTCAATAAATGTACATTCACAACTGTATATGCAACTGTATTTGTGTATTAAACTCATTCTTCAGTACACGATAATCGTCCTCGAAACGTAAAAACTATAAGCACAAAGATACTTTCGCTTCCAATTCCGAATTCCATCATGACACTAACAATAACCTTTCGAAGCAAACGGCCTGACACCGATCAATTAACCACCGTACCCGTGAAATCAAGACTGGAATTACTTTAATCATTGGGTGGCATTACGCGTGGTCCCACGGGGAACCGAGCCGCGCAACTGAATTAGACGGCGCGCAATCCGTCAGGGATGCAACGAAATCACTACCGCATTAACCGGGCAAATGTCGCCGGGTTAAATTACGTTTAATGCCGGCGGAGTCGCGGTGTCGAGGCCGTAATCGTAGCCGCGTAATCGATGAACAAAGCGAGGCTCGACAGCGGATTCCGTGGAAAACCGTGCAAATGCGATTTTAATGTCAAGGGAGAGAGCCCCGTGTTTTTCCACGGGGCGTGTCCCTAACGACTCGATGGCCCCCGGCTGGTTTTACCATTTTGTTACGTTGTTAAGGTTGCGTTGTTACGTTGCGCTCGCTGATGCTGTGCCGCGCATCTATTATGAACCAGCCAGGGCGACTCTCCTCGAGCCACTCTTCGAGCGGGGATTGTGAAAGTTGTGCACGCTCGCGAGAGATTTAAAGTGGTTTCAGACCGTTTGGGAGAAATGGACTGTTGGGAAACGTACACCTAAAGGGACGCGCGTGATGCACGCGGCCGTTTCAACGGTTAGTTTACGAAGTTCACTATTAACTCCGGCTAATGTCGTGCCTCTCTGGAGAGATAATTGCGACGCGATGCCTGGCAGCAGCACAGGCAGTTTTTGTTCAATAGATCGGACTCTTACGGTAAGTCTATTAAAGACTTATTCATTCGGTTGGGACCAAAGCAAATTCTCAGGTTTGGTTCATTGTAGACTGTTTTTTTGTCATCGAGCACAGTCCTTGATCAAAAAATCTTTCGATCAATCTGTCGTTGAACACAACTCTCCGATCGATATTGTACATCTTTCCAGAAGAAACATTGATTTCTCTTCACGTCGAAAATGTTAATCGTCCAATCGTCGAAGATCGTCCGAGGAACTCGCCCAAAATCCACTGGTTCATCGGTTTCTTCAGCATGGGACCTATGGGCAGCGTAGAGAAACGTATCGGTTCCCTCGTTTCGTCGAGTTCTCCCAATAAGAGTACACCTATAATTTGTAACCAGGCTCGGCCGTAGGTACCGGCCTGATGGAAAAATGCGTTCCGGCCAATTTTACGCGCAGCCGTCAGCAGGCCAGGCTGTTGGTCGTGGCAGCCGGGGATGAGAAAAAAGAAAAAAAGAAGAAAGAACGGGAGATATTAGCGGGGAAAGGGGATAGAAGGCGAAGGAAACGCGCGACTGTGCGAAAATTGGCCGTGTAACCCACGAGATGAGCCTGGGATTTAACCCTTCAATGGGTTGTCGATAATCGCCTATATAGCTTCTCCAGGCAGAGGGTGCGAGTACACGACGTGATACCGAGCAAACTTTTATACGACAGTGCGATGTTTATATCAGTTGGTGTAGTATAACTCGCAATATTGTATATGTGTATCGCGTATGATTCGAGAGCTCAGAAATCAATCAGTGTAAGTAGTTTTCTGTTAAAAGTAACTTTGTATGCCATAGGAACATATATTTTTGTTAAAAAATCTTCAGTCTATGGGCGAATTTAGTTATAACAATTCAACCGATAATTTTAAGAGCAAAAGGACATTTGCGTGAAATAAGTTATTAATAATTCTAATAAATTATAGTAAATTATCTCTAATGAGAGTATGTAGCATTGTACATAACGTAGGTTCAGGTCAGGATTGTATTATAGTATTAAAATGCTATGCTGTAACATTTAACATAGTATGGTACAGATTTTTAATTATGAATTAGAACTATTGCGGATGGTGAAAATATTTTTTGCCAACTATTATCGACAATGAATTTTATTTGAATAAAATTGGAAATAAACATGAAACTGTAAAAGAAATCTCACCCATGAACATCTTCCTTTCTCCATTCGTTCATTATCATCTAGGATTTTACTTGTGCATATAATACTTTGAATCAATACATATCTTTTGTTTTAATAATTTTGTTTTTATAATCTATCAGAGATTACCAATCTGCAGTTTTTTTTTTCAGCTTTACGTAATAAGTTTAATGTAAGCGAAGATCATAAAAGTATTTGAACAATCAATTAACCGTTACATTAATATCGAATGAGTATCATTTGAAACATTTATCATTATACGTTTAAGACGATCGTTCGTGTATACTAATACCCCGCAAGTTCTATACACGTTTTCAAATTGATTTCCAATTCAATTGCTGTCGTATATTATTGCAGTGCTAATAAAATTTCAAAATTTTCTATATATATATAGTATACATAAAATTTATATATTATTTATATATTAAGTTTATATATTATATAACAAAAGTTTTATATATATATAGAAAATTTTGAAATTTTATTAGTACTGCAATAATATACGACAGCAATTGAATTGAAAATCAATTTGAAAACGTGCATAGAACTTGCAGGATATTAGTATACACGTGTGTATATATACATATATATAAAAGATTTCTATAGTAAATGTTCAAATACTTCTACAAGCCGCTGTATGTACCTATAAAAAAAAAAAGGAGAGAGAGAAAAAAAAGCAAACAAAAATTCCGTCCCCGTTTTCAACGCGGACGAATAAATGTTATTCAATATCGCGCGCGTTCCGCCGACAGATTTTCATTTACGGATCGCGAAACCCGTGTATGAGGGGGAGGGATTTAAAACCAAATGCGGGTATCGCTGTATCAGCGTCGGCGGCCGCTCGAAGCGGTGTTCCGCGGTGTTCATTTCAATTCGCCTCTAATTGAACGCTGTTCAATATTGACGAGTTAAATAATTGTCTTTGGAAAACTGAGCCCGCGT